CCCATACATGCATATTATTTTATTGCCAAGAGGTCTAAGTACAATAAAGGAGAAGAAAAGAAAGATAATCTTTTAAGTGTGATGACAGACTACATTTCTGTTTTAAGAAACAACAATATACCTATTAATCACTTATATATTCTAGAAAAATAACTATATCAACTTTAATTTACATAAAGAAACAGACTACATTTTGCTGGACAATTTATTAGAGAAAATGTTAAGGAATGTTCTTCAACTCAGATATTTGCATTTGTCTATATTAGTCATATATAATATTCTTCTTCATAAAAAGTATATAATTTAAGTAATAAAAGAGAGGGGAAAATGTATGCTTTCTAACATGTATAAGTCATATAAGCAAGTAGCCTAGTAAATAATAGAAATTATTATTCTTCAGCTGGAACAAAGAAGATTTCTACTTTGAAATTCTGGCCATTAATAAATACTGCAATTTGTGGACTTTTTTTTTCACCATGAATAGAGATACAGCAATAATTCTGAGGAAAGAATAGTCTATTTAATAGTTCCATGTTGAAACCATCAGGTTTCCTACTATCTTCTTAAAAACTATGTACTTTCACAATTTTGTCACAAAAATAGGTGGAGAAAATCCTCCACCTACTTATAAGGTTTTATTTCACTCTAAAATAAATCAAAATTTCAATTAGCAAACCATAAAACTTGACTGTGACAAGAATTTTCACTTTAAAACAGTAGTCATAAATAAAAACTTAATACAGATAGATACCTCATTTAGAAAGTATTTGGTCATTATTAAGATTTAGGTTCTAGAAGCTATGTGACTACAAACAAACCAGATAAAAGTTTTTTCAAAGAAGAAAGACTATTCAAATAGAATGCACATGTTCATAGCAGCATTATTCACAATAGCCAAAAGATGGAAGCTACTCAAGTGTCCATGGATGGACAGATGGATAAACAAAATGTGGTAGATACATACAATGAAATATTATTCAGCCTTCAAAAGTAAGGAAATTCTAACACATGCTACAATATGAACAAACCTTGAAGATACTATGCTAAATAAAATGAACCAGTCACAAATAAACAAATACTGTATGATTCCACTTACATGAGGTACCTAGAGGTATCAAATTCATAGAGACAGGAAGTAGAATGATGGTTGTCTGGGGCTAGGAAAGGAGGAAATGAGGAATTACTGTTTACTGAGTATAGAGTTTCACTTGGGGAAGATGATTGGTGGTGATGGTTGCATATTAGTGTCAATGTTCTCAAGGCCACAAAAGTGTACACTTAAATTGGTTACAATGGTATAAATTTCATTTTATATATCTATATCTTACAATTAAAAATAAAGGGTATAGCTGAAGAGCATTCTGAAAACTGAACAGCAGTCTATAAAAACACACATGAAAGCAGTGAATTATCATATGTTTTAATTTTTTTTAAAGTCCTGGTCTTTTACTTCATTTTTTGTTTTACTTTCTTCTCCTTTATCCTAACCAATTAAGTGCATTTGATTCCATTTGCAAATTTTGTGATTTATGGGTTTTAAGATTGGAAGCCATACTCCAAGCACCACCAATAGCTATGTTCAGAAAAAAATTGTACTCTTCTAGAAGTCTGGTCTGTTATTTAAATATAGACAAAGAATACAATTTTTTCTTGGTTAAAGATGCCATTTCATTTTTTATTTATAAATTTTTTATTCATATATATTTTACACCATTGCTCATTTTTGTACAATATTTTCATTTTCCTCTCTGGTGTAGTCTCCATAAAATTTCCAGCACCAATTCACACATGCACCATCACGATAGTTCTTGTGCTCATCCCTCCCCTGTTTTGATCCCTCTCCCCACTCCACCCCCACAGAATGTCTCTGCTGAATGTTTATAGCTGCCTGTTGATTTTGGCTTTTTATTTATATTTTTTTCTGATGCCCCAAAGTAGATGAGCAGATCAAGAAGATGTGGTATATACACACAATGGAATACTACTCAGCAATCAAAAAAGATAAGCTCATGCCATTCGCAGCAACGTGATGGAGCTGGAAGGGATTATGCTCAGTGAAATAAGTCAGAAGGAAAAACGAAAATATCAGATGGTTTCACTTATAGGAGGAATATAGGGGAACCAAATAAAGAATACAATTTTATATCATATTTTTTGATAAACATTACTATTTTCTATATTATCCAAGTCTAACTTCTTCTGACTAGGCTATAAAACCCTGACTAATATGCTTTTTATAATCCCATCTGTGGATTTCATAGAATTTAAAATATCCCCAAACTTCAGTCTTAAACTCTTAAGTAGAATTTTTGATGAATTATTGATCCTGCATAAGTTTTATGCAGTTTATAGTAACCCTATTTCAAATTCATTATTTCTATGATGAAGTTGCAAAACACAGATCCTCAGAAAAATTTATCTGGTTTTATCTTAAAAATGGCAGTTAAGAGCTTGCACTTTGCAGTCAAGTGGTCTGGGTTTGAATTCTGGTTCTACAACTTACTAGATGTGTGAGTGGATAAATTAATGAATTTTATAAATCTGTTTACTCATTTTTTGAATGTAGATATGAATACCCAAGAGTGGTTCTGAGGATCATGTATATAAAGCTTCTCATCAGTGTCTGAGTTATTAATTAATGGTAGCTAATAATAATAATAAGAGCAGCAGCAGTGTCTAAAAATGATCAGTGCCCTACTGGACTGCAAAACATTATATTGCAACTTTTTAAAATGTCTCCACAGTTTTAACTATAAAATGAATCCAGAAAAAAAGAGCAATTACATATTGTAAGGCCTGTTATCTTCCAATATTTCTTATTATCATACTAAGCAAAAGAAATTAAGCCAAACCAAAATGAAAAGACCAGGTATGTATATGTGTATATATATACAAAAACACTTACCTTTCTAATGTGCTATATACAATCAGGAACTTGTATAGAAACAAGGTAAAAGTTGAAAAGTAAACAGGAAGAGCCAAACCACAATGAGGGTAACCACGTATACAAATATAGGAAACTTCCAACTATTCAACTATTTGAACAGTTCATTCAGAATCATATTATTAGAGACACACTGTAATTCTTTTGTATTCCTAGGGTACATATCCACGAGTCCAAAAAAATAGGGATATTTTCGTCACTTCTTATTAATATAGGCAAGAAAATTTCATATTTTCTTTAAACAAAACTAAATTGCTACTACAGTTACTTTCACTGAAGATTTCTTAAATATATAATATTTGATACTGGGGTTTCTGCCATAATTTAATTAGAAAGTGCAGTTTCTACAGGATCAATTTGACCTCCCCAACTACAAAGAAACATGGAAATTTTGTAACAGACTAGTGTTTCTTGGAACACTAATGTCTTAAGACACTGGGGTAGGAGGATAAAAGGGTAGTCAAAAAAGTTGAAGTCTTGGAAACCCTGCATTCTTTATCTCCTGATTCTGAGAACTCCTGCAGTTAGCAGAGCTGTTTAAATTTGTTTAACTGGTGTTGCCAAAATTTATTTGGCCATTAATCCTTTCTTCAAGTAATACCAAGGAACCAGTGTTCCTCGTAACAACTTATTTTAGCAAATATATAATAAATTACCTTTGACTAGCTATTTGAAAGCAGTTTCACAGCACTTGTCGCAAAAAGGTAGAATTTGCTTAAGTCCCTAAATGAGTCCATGGTATTTCATATCTGGGGGAAAAAATCTAACATCTAAATATCTAGCAAGGTATAGTTATTTCCAGAATATGTACTTTGAGCCCCTTACTGCCTATATGTTATTTATCAAATCCAAATGCCCAATTTCTAATATCCGTGAAATCTTAGAATGTATATGACCCGCTAAGTCTTTGCTTTTATTTCTGGACTTCACTGTAAGCTAGGAAAACCCTGTGGCTATGAGCTACACTTTCAAATATCAGAATACTAAACTCAGTTACCAGCATTTTATTAACTGGTGCCATGAGATATGTTTATGTAATTCTATAGTAAAATAATATTCTACAACCTAAATCCTGAAGCAAAGTAGTAACTGATTATTACTTCATTCCCCTAAAATTTCCCTAAAATCTGTATTATGTGTATATATATATATATATATATATATATATATATATATATATATAAACACTGTAATTACAACTTTATCTACTGGAGATTTAATTTAAGCAACTTGCCCCAAGTACCAAGAGTCAGCAGGAACCAATTTCTTGTTGGACAGACACTGCATAATACAACTATAGAAATGGCATCAGATAATCACCCTAAAATATGAACAAAAACAGGAAATTCCCTTACTAATAGCTTATTATTTAAGGAGTTTTCTTCTTTTGAAATAATTTGGGAACACAATTTGTTAAAAATCTAAACTTGAACCCCTTAGAATCAGATGACGTGCTAGATAGCTTTTTATGAGTTCAGAAATTAAGAACCAAGTCTTAACAACTGTAATAAGGCATTCATTACTTTGTCATTGTGTCAGATAAAACAAAACAAGTAAGCTACAATTAATTCTGGGTAAGGTGTGAATGTGAATGATTATACTGCCAGGCTGAGGCATCACTTCCTATGTTCTTCTTTCAGTTTCAAAAGTACATAAAAGTGTAACAAAAAGTATATAGTGAAATGGACATGAACAATTTTTGTAAAAGCCTAACAGAGAAGACACAATAACTGTTATGAAAATAATATATTTGATAACCAGACATTTGATAATTGATTTTCAAGTTATACAAAATAAGCTGCCATTGAAAGAAAAAACACCTCAAAATATCTATAGCAGAATACACATAATCACAGTATATTATAATATGATAATACATGTCAATAACATTTTACTAGAGCTAAGGCAAATGGTTGAAAAGAAGAAAAAAATCTGTCATGAATCCGACAATTCAATAAAGGAAAAGGAGTCAAAGAATCAGATTTAAATTTCATAAATAATTTCTATTATTTTGGTTTTCACTGTAGAAGCAGAAGTAACAAAAATTGGTCTTCACCTGGTAAGTGTGTACTCCCTGAGTCCTGAATGCAAATTCATGGCAGAAAAAGTACCTATGCATCCACGCAATCTTTTGTCTCGACCAATCTTCCATGTTACAAACAGTGGGCTGCAACGGAAATAAAAACAGGGTAAATCAATCAATTCAATTCAAGCAAGTATTTCTGAGTGTTTGCAATATGTAAGCCCTCAAGGGACTTAAGAGTCTAGTCTAACAGGACTGTATTTAGCAATTATTATAGCTATATTGCTTTTCATGTGTCCTATGTTAGGCAATACAATGTGTTTTAAACAAATTGCCTATGTAAATCCTCAACAACCCTAGAAGGCTGACACTGATTGTAACATTCTTATTTTACAAACAAAGGAGTCTCACTGTTAATACATAAGGAAGTAGAATTCAAACTCAAACCTGACTACAGAGCCTTTAACCATCATGGCTGACTACTTGATTCCTAATTAAAACAGCAAGTTGCTAATTAATCTTAAGTCCAGTTTAGAAGTCACAGGAAAAAAATCAACAATTTCAATGAATAATCACTGAATCTAGGAAGCCAAAGTAATTTGAAAGGTACTACCGGAGATACAAAGTTGTTGTTATCTAAGAGGTAGTATAGGCTGCAGGTATATTTGTACCTAAGTAACAAGAGGCAAAGGGAAATAAGTCTTTGTAAACCATGTCCAAAATGCCATATATTAAGGTACTAGGACTGAAAAAAAATTTATCAAGTTTGATCATCTTTAGCTTGGGGTAGAAAAATGACTAGGGTTTGGAAGGGCAGCAGCAAACATTAACAAGACACTCTGAAAACAGAAAATTTAATTTTTAGCTAAAATTATTGCCAATAAATACAATCTCTCAAGCATCAAATGTCAAAGTCAAAGTGTCAACGAAAAATGTCATCAAGAAGGCAGTGAAGTTTAATATAGTAGATGTTTGGATTCTGCAGTGTATCACTGACAACCTCAATTAATGGTTAAGTCAAAAACAATTGTTTTCTAATTAGAAGCAGCATTATATGTCATTTTTATGAAATAAATTAATTTACACAATTTAGAACTTTCTAAAAAAAGATAAAATACCTTATCACTGAAGATGGTTTCTGTTAATATGAGTATTTACAGTATTATTGATATATTACATTTCTGCTTTTAAAAATTTAAATTTTAGGGCCTCCCCGGTGGCGCAGCGGTTGAGCGCTGGGTTGCGAAGCTGCCCACAGCCTCTGCGGCACCGGTTCGATCCCCGGCTGCTCCCCGGCCACCAGAGGAGGGTCCCACATGGCGCGCAGACCTCTCCTGCCGCCCGCTGCTCCCCTCAGCAGTGTACTTCGGTCCTTTTGCCTGCTCTGCTCCCCGCTCTGGCTCTGGTGAATTCTCTCACCCTCCCGCGCTTCTGACTGTACCCAGTGCATGTATAAACAAAATAAACAAACAAATAAAATAAATAAATAAATAAAAACATGCCTCTATAAAAAAAAAAATTAAAAAAAAAATAAAAATTTAAATTTTAGGAGGACATACCATATATTTATTTAAAGTCATATATTTATGTAAAGTCCTCACTAGAGATTCCCAAATAGGTAGTACATACAAGCCAGGGATCAGTGCTAAGAATTACTTACTTCCAAGAGCCAAATGCCCAGAGGCAAGAAAAATATGACAAAAGTATAAGGCCAAGTTATTATTGATGTTAGTATTCAAGTGCTAGATGACCTACACTAAAGATACTAAAATAAAAAGCAAAAGGTAAATTCCAGCTTTTCTGCCATTTCCATCATATAAATTAAATATGTTACAACTTCAGACAAGATTCTAATCGTCCAATTGGAAATTTTTTCTAATTGCTCTTGATTAAGAGCTGATTGGGAAGAAAATAATTAGATGGGTTTCCCTGGTGGTGCAAGGGGTTAAGCACCACACTATGAAGCAATCCGAAGCCTCTGCAGCACGAGTTCCATCCCCGGCCTGCCAGGGAGCAACCCACATGGCAAAGCAGACCTCTCCGATCTCGCCCCCTGCTCCCCTCAGCAGTGTATTTCTGCCTGTTCTGTTCCCCACTCTGTCTCTGGTGAATCCTCTCACCCCCCTCCCCCATCGCTGGCCTGTACCCCAGCTCTTGTATACATAAATAAATAAATCTTTTAAAAAAATTATTAGATGAGATTACTTTCTCACCAGTTCTACTGATATTACTCATACAAATACTAGTATCTTAAAATTCACAAGTTATATTTAAGGATGAATTTTACCTCTTCATTTTGCACTTTCTAGTTTGGTGAATCAGTATTAGCAACCATTATACAGACAGTAAGATATCAATCTTCTACCATAACAACACCTATAAGAAATATCTCTACACATGATGAGATCCTTAGCAGATTCAGAACAAAGTGAATCACATGAAACTTAAATATTGTCATTAAAATACCCTGGTATCATATAATACATATCATAAATACAAATGAATAATAAACATAGTAAGTTGTATATTCTTTTCTTTAATGACTTGAGTGAGAAAGCTAAGAGTGTGAGTGAACTCACTTCCTATCAAAAGCACTAGAATGAAAGTCATTAAAAGTACTTTCCCTTCACTTTTATTTATCCATCTATGTCATTCCTACTATAGCCCTATTTCCTCAAGCAAACATTCAAATTTGTAGGGAAAATAGAAAAAGAAAACCAACGAAACACTTAAGAATTAGTGTAGGGGAAGTGTAGTAGTGTAGTAGGGGAAATTATATACAGTTTCTTATAATGCTATGCTATCACTGATGAAGGGATGATTAATTCAGGGGGTTATGGGTACTAGAGGATAAACTGGATTTTGCCAGGCAGCCTCAGAGAAGACTTTGTTATAAGGAAGGGCATAAGATGTAAAAGTCGCACAGTACTTTCAGGGGACAGGAAGTAGTCTGACAGTCTTGATAATTTTTTGTGGTCTTCTCCAGATTTAACCAATTTTCAGCTCTAAAATATTCTGGAGAATGTGTGTTCTCCAGAGCCATCAGAAGAGGTAGAGCAGATGTGGAATTGTCTGCATTCTCCCAGTTCCTTACCTGTCCATGGCAATATCTACTTAGGGAATCGCAGCAGGGGTTATATATGTGTTAAATATAGGAGGGATTGCTACTTGTCGACCTTATCGTGTTTAGGACAGATGCCTGCAGATGGAAGAAATCAGATTCTTAGGAATACCTTCAAAACCTGGGACACAAATTTCTCATTTACAAATGCTCATCCAACATTCATGTAAAAAATGTGTGTATGCAACTTAAAATAACCAAAATGCCTAAAAGCAACATTTAATAGTTAAAGGAATTTGGGAAGTTACACATTTTAAAGTAGATTGAAACAGAATAAATATCATTGAGATGTTATCTTGTGTGTGATAGCTACTTTGTATACAGGGCAATGACTATGGGAATATTTTAATACATACTATCCAAAAATTGCAACAAATGTTTTTCTTCCCCCAACACCCAGAGGAAAGAAATAGGCAATTTCATTTTTAAACATGTTAGTAAAGCATGTATACATTCTCAAAAGAATATAAGACATCACCATAATCAGAGACAGGTCAAAGTAGAAAAAAGGTTTTGAGCCTGTTGAGAGGAGTGGCTCAATGACACCATAATAAGGAAAATATTTCATAGTAAGAAAAAGATGGAATGTTTTTGTAAAATACTTTTACCATATGGTTTGAGGCCACCTACATACATTGAAAATATTATAAACTATAAAGGGACTCAAAATGAAATATTAATGGAAATGTTTATCTGAGGGTAACCAGACATACCATCTTAAGGAATTTCCCTACTTCTGAATATTTTGTGCTCTAAGAATCCTTTGGAGGATAGTAAACTCCAATTTTTCCAAGTCTGCAGTCAGAAACAGGAAGTAACCACCTAATCTAGGTAAATCTGCCCTGCCAACTGGCAACCAATACTGTTGGGTTGCAGAGAAATATAGTGCATGAAATCAGCAAAAGCACAGCAAAGCAATGTAAATCTGAACAGTATTTGCCCTGGTCTGGATTGCATGCCACTCCCTATACCCCTTTTTGGAAATTGTTCTATGACACAAGATTAGAAATATGTTTGTAGGAGAGAGGTACAACTATGAAAAAGGTATATTTACTTAATTATATTTAATAATATATACTATCTCCCCTGCCACACCAAGGCAAAAACAGAGGTTAAAAAATAACCTTAGACAGTTGCAAGTGCTAATAATTTTAATATAAAACAGACCAGGCTAAAAATATGTCTATCTACTGAAGTCTTAGGATTTCTAAATTCAATGTAAGCAAAACTAAAAGCACTAGGAGAACCAGATCCCAGGGTCTTAGAATGAATACTGGTTAATACAGCCAACTCTTATTTTTTATGCCATTAAAAACTTTTATGGTACTGTGTTTTGGTACTTCCAATATGACTCTGTATATACCAGACGGTCAAGTAATTCATAATACCTTAAACAAAACAATGAAACAACCAGTGGGTTTGTTTGTTGCACTTCTGTCGACATTACTTCCCCAGGTAATGACCTATCTTCCACCATCCTGTCTTACCCTCAGAACCTACTCAATTACCAGAAATAGATTAGATAGGAAATAAATGTTGATAGAATTAAACAGTAATGTAAAAAGAGATGGAAAGTTATCCAGCTTCTTCATTCTAGATTTTAATATTTTCCCAGTCCAAGGAGATCTATGTAATGTGCCAGCTTAATAAATAAGAACTGCAATAAAAACTGTGATATATTTGCATTTCACATATTTTCTGGGTTTAGAAAGGTAATTTTTTTATTTTAAGATCCCTGTATTGGATTACTTTCTCCTTTGAGAGAAAGAAGGTGTATAGTCTCAGCTTTGTAGCTGGAATTTGGCAAGCCCTTCTTATTTTAGGGGAAGAAGAAAGACAGAATCTAGGGATAAAGTACAATCTGAGGCCACATTTTATATCAGGGCTCCTCATATTACCTTTGCTATCAGCACCCCCTCCCCTTTTTCAGTTCTATCTCTCAAGAACCTCTATTATGAAATATCCAAGATGTTGAGGGGTTTTTACATGAAATTGATATCCTTATCTCAAAGTGTTTCTTTTT